GAGCCTGAGGTGAAGCAGGACATCATGATGGGAGAGTGTGGTACAGGAAGACTGCACTAAGAAGCAGAGAGAAAAGACTAAGTTCAGCTCATAAAATATAAACCCCAAAGGTGCACCCCCAATGACCCACCTCCTCTAGCTATACCCTACCTGCCTACAGTCACCACTCAGTTAATCCTTATCAGGGGAATAACACACTGGTAGGTTAAGGTTCTCATAAGCCAATCTCACATACGAGCTTTTGGGTGGACACCTTATATTTAAACCATTAACAACTACAAAGCTTTAGTAACAAAATTACAATGGTACTGGCATAAAAACCGATCTGTAGAGTAATGGAATAAAATAGAAGACAGAGAAAACTACACAGATAGTTATCTGATCCTTGACAAAGAGTTGTCTAAAACATACATTGAACAAAAGACAGCCTTTTAAATACATGGTGTTGAGTAAACTTGATATCCATATGTAGAATAATGAAACCAGATCCCTATTTCTCACCCTATACAGAAATCAAATCACAAATGAATCAAAGACTAGGAATTAGACAAAAATTTTGCAACTGCTCTTAGAAAACAGAATCAATACCCCAACATATAGACATAGGCAATGACTTCTTCAAAAGAATTCATTAATCTCAAGAAATAATATCAAGAATTAATGGAATGGAATTTAAAAAACTTATGCACTGCAAAGAAAACAATTTAGGACCATGATGACAAAACCTACAGAATGGGAGAAAATCTTTGCCAGGTATTCCTCCTACAATGTGTTAATATTCTGAAAACATAAAAAACTCAGACTTACCACTAAAACCTCAGATAACCCAATCAGTAAATGGTCAAATGGACTAAACAGACAATTCTCAACAATGGACAAATGGCCAACAAACAGATAAAAAAATATTCACCATTTTATCTATCAGGAAAATGCAAATCAAAGCTACACTGAGATTTCATTGTACTCAAGTTAGAATGGCAGTCATCAAGAATACAAATAAAAATAAATGCTGGGCTGCCATATGAGGAAAAAGTAACACTTATCCTCTGTTCATGGGATTTTAAATTAATACAACCACTATGGAAAACAGTTCCTTGAAAGACTAGGAATGGAACAAAGAGGTGACTCAGCTATACTACCCCTCTGAATTTATCCTAAAGAATTAAAGTCCTTTTACTATGACCCATGTTTATGGTAGTGCAATGCTGTGTGGCCAAGTTATAAAACCATTCTAGGTATCTCTCTGTCCTCAGATGAATGGATAAAGATAATTTGCTGTATATTCAAAATCCTTTGATGGGCTATTCTCAGCCGTGAAGAAGATTGAAGTTATGTTAATTGTAGGAAAGTGCACGGAACTGGAGACTATCATGCTAAGGAAATAAACCAGACTCAGAACATCAAGGGTTATATATGTTCTTTCATATGTGGATGCTAGAGAAAAAAAAAGGTGAATAAAGTGGGAATATCATGAAAATAGAAGGGAAACTAGGGTAGAGGAAGGGTATCAAGAGGAGGGAAGAAAGGGAGGAAAAAGGGAGGTACTGGGGAATGAAACTGACCAAATTATGTCATATATGCATGTACAAATATGACACAATGAATTCTACTATTATGTATAATTATAGTGCACCAATAAAAAATGTAAAAAAGTAATTTTAAATTTTATCTGAAAAACAATGAAATGTTATTCAATGCTTTTAGGGAAGAAGCTAACTACCAATCATTGTCCTATGAAATAAGAATTTCTCTGGTTACTATGTGGAAAATAGGTTAAAAGAAAACATTGGCAATATATACACAATTGAGAATGGTTGTCCTTTTTAGTATACAATTGTACATTTATTAATTTATTTTGAGAAAGTCATCAGACAAGGATGAAAAGTTTGGGAGGACATTCACTTAATATTTACCAAAGGCGTGAGTTTAGGAAAGCTTATCTTTCTTCTTTTTAATATTTTATTTTGAATTATTTATTTTTAATAAGCATGCATTCTTTTAAATTTCATAAAAATCAACAAAACAATTTCAGTTTTGAAAAGAAAATACTAAAAGACCCGTGAGTATGCTGTAAGGTAGGGTAGATTAGTTACCCATTCCAAATTGTTCTTTGTTTTAGATCTCCATTTCTTATGGGTTCCTTCCTGAATTCTGCCTTTTTGTGTAGTTCCTATGTCTTGATAGTTCTATTAAATTGGCTTGAACATCTGTTGTTACTTTGAAGAACTCCAGTAATTAGGAGATTACTTCCACAGTGTGATCAAAAGGTTGTAGGACTTGGGGGTCTGGGGTTGTGGCTCATCTGTGGAACACTCGCCTAGCATGCATGTGGTACTGGGTTTGATCCTTGGCACCACATTAAAAAAATAAATAAATAAATAAAGGTCATTGTGTCCACCTACAAATAAAAAACAAATATGAAAAACAATTGTAGTACTTGTATTATATATGATTTGGCCTCATTTGATAACATCAAACTGAGTAACAACTTAAGCTTGAGTTTCTTTATTTGTAAAACAGGTATAATCCTTATCTACTTTATTGGGTATTCTATATCCAAAAACATTTTATAAATTACAAACTACTATCATATGTAATTATATAATAATTATTACATATAAAATGTATGAAAAATTACATACCCACAGAGTCACAGACACACCATCTTGCAGGGAAATTTCATTTCTTCTTTATTTGATGATATAATCATTCTAGTATTTTTTTTCATAGAGTTCAAATTTGTCTTCCCATGGTGTTTATGTATTATGACTCTTTTTCCTTTGAAACCATGTGAAGTATTCCATCCTTTCTTCTATATAATAATCATGTAATAACTAAGAAAGATAATAGGCTCAAAGTCTATAGATTTAGACCTTTTCTCTGTAGAAAAATGTCCAGTTTTTCACAACTTTAGAACATAGTCATATCTTCAGTAAAATGTATAAAATGCATGTGAAATAAAGGAAATCCTTGGAGTTTATGTGTGTTTATGTGACTTCTTTTCCATATATAATTGAAGATTTGATTTGGTTTGATAAAATCTTTCCAAGATATATTTTTTATTGAAATAAGTAAAAACATGGTTTTAGGTAGCAAATTTCTGTACTGTCTTTAGGGGGCAGTGCTAAACCACTGATAAATGTCTTCATTTCTGGTAAAGCTATTGGTAATGATTAATATGAAATAAAACTAAAATATTAATTCATGATATTTGTGATACAATTTTATATTCCCCTTAATATTAGTTAAATTTTCTAGGTGGCCAAATGAAAATGATGGTTCATTTATTCAATAAATATTTATGAAGTTCAATTATGAACATACATTATATGAGATATAGATATGAATAAGGCAATGTTTTCTTTCCAATAACTTACAATTAAATAGGGTAGGAAAGCCACATTGTATTTGTACATGTGTTTATGCATGAGCACACTGTATATACACAACTTTTTCAGAATAAATATAATAACAAAAATAGCAGAATTTATTTTTATATGCCAGTCACTGTCAAGCAGTTAATTGCATACTTATATAGTCCTATCAAAATGGGAATTATTATTTACATACTTTTGCAGATAAAGGAACTGAGGATTAATAAGATTATGTGATTTTCTCAAAATCATGTAGCTTGGAAATGTCAGAGCTAGGACATGAATGTATATATCTATTTGACTTCACAACCAATGCTCTTTGCCAATATGTCATCTATGATTTCAGTATATATGTGAAATACCAAAATACACTTTGCACATTTACATAGTTACAGACATTTAGAAGTGAGATTATTTCTGTTTGTGATAGATCTGAAAATTTTTAGGTAAGAGATGAAATCTCAACTGTATTTCTCATATATAAAATTATAAGAAAATAATATATTAGAAAGTTAATATTTATTGAGACCTATCATGTATCAGGCACTTTTTATTCATTAATTCATTTAATTATTAGGAAAAAACCCTCAAAGTTATTTTCTATTGCAAAAATAATGCTAGTAAAACTGACAATGGACATATCTGCTGAAAACTATCAGATAGTGGAACAATTATAACTCAAATTCAGGACTGTCTAATTTTAGAGGATAAGTGCTTAACCACTGCAATATGCTGAAACAAAGAATTAAGGTAGAAGATGCAAATAAAAGCATGGAGCATGATTAGGCAAGGGTGAATAATTCCACTTGGTTGTAATCTGGAGTGAGTAAAATTGAATAGGAAAAAAAGGCTGAAAAGTAGTTTAATCATAGAATCTTGAAGTCATTTGAAAGAATTAGGATATTATTTGCCATGTAATGGGAAATAATTGGAGACTTAAGTAGGGAAGAGATATCAATATTTTTTTTTCCTTAGAAGAAAGAGATGTAAGAACTTTACCACATAATTGGATTAGATAATTACAGTACCATTAACAAAAAAAAAGGAACTAATGAAATGAAATATCAAACTATGAGATGTAGACAGTTCTTAACCAGGTATTCAATTGTTTATAATGCCATGCAATTTCATCTCTGAGGTCAAAACCAGTAACTAATCATGAATTGGTGACAAAAATGCCTATTTGACTTTTATTCACATTTGTGAACAACATATTGATGATCAATCCTATAAATGTTCTTGTTAGGATAAAGCTTTAGATTTCCCATATATATGTATATTTTACCCAGATAATCTGTAGGATTAAAAAATCTCTGTGATAATTGCCTGTTATTACTGGTTTTACAATTGTGTATTCATGAATGATGGGCTTCTGTGTTCCAAATTAAAGAAAATTTCACTGACTGTCACAGGTGGCAAAATGCTCTCAGGAGTTATCATAATGTAGTGGAAACAAAGAAAATATATACCTCCCCTTTTAAATGGCAGCTATATCATCTTGATTTTTTAATATATTTTCTTTTATAGCATGTTGTGCCAAATAAAATGTCCTGTAACAGAGTGGTTAAGTAAGCATAAGGTCTACCTATAGTCTGGCTGTAGAATTTTTATTTTTTTCTTACTTACCAGCTCTGAGACTTCAGATTTTACTTGACCTCTCTTTATAAGATGAGGGGAAAAGAATATCTGCTCCCAAGGTCTGTTGGGTAAATAAAAATAATTAATGGAAAAGAGTCCCATGATAATATAAATCACATAGTAATTTATCAGTATAGCATAGATGTTATTGTATTTTATAGGCAGCAACTAATTAAGGGACTATTTTATTGTTTCTAATTTACTGGCAATTGATAAAGGGAAAATTAAAATGTGAACAGAAAAACAAATTCTTTGAAATATAAGGAAAAAGAAGGTCTTATGTTTTACTTTTAAAGGCAACAACTTTTTTTTGAGGGTGTATATTTGTGGGGAGGAGTTATTTACAATCCCATATGTAGAATTCTTTAGTCATTTCAATAATCATGATCTGTGTGTTGTGCTGAACACTACATTGTGAAGCTCTTTAGACAAGTTTGTTCCTTTTCTTTATGTTTATAATAGAAATATGTATGATTTATATATATTATATATATGTATATATATATATATATATATATATATACACACACACACACATATATACCCACACAAAATAAATGCTTTCATATTGTCAGTATTTAGCTATTTTGTTTATGTTGAGAGCCACAGCCGAAGGGGCCCCAGCAAACTTTCAGACTGCCAGCTGATGATTGGCTCACAGCGGCCCCAGCAACTTCTAGCTGATTGGCTCCTCTGCAGTGATGCTCATTGGGCTGTTTCCCTGCCTTTCAGACCACGGAGCTGCTCATTTGGGGACTTTTTTGGCTCTGCCCACACGACCCAGCCAATCGGCCTCAAGAGCAGGAGGAGGGGGGGTGTTGAGAGGCTTGTGGGAAGCCGGTGGTGGCAGTTGGGCTCTGAGGGTTTTTCCTGAGGAGCTGTTTTGTTTGGCGTGTGTGGTTCTAAAAATAAAGTTCGTTTCTTTTGACAAGTGGCTCCTGAATTGTGCCCAGCCAGACTGCGGCATATTTAGTCTCATGTTTTTATAAAAATGATTTTATAACACGTTATAGTTACACATAGTATTTGGGTTCATTTTGACATAATCATCCGTGCATAGAATTTAATTTGGTCCATTTTAGGCCTCAGTGCTTCCTCTTTACCTCCCCTTCTCTTTCTCCTCCTCCCTTTCCCTATTCCCTTTTCTATACTCTATACTGCTCTTCCTTCTTTTTATTTAGTTTTTAATTTGATGTGTATTAAGATAGAGTGCATTGTGATTTTATACATTCACATAGTGTAATTTTATCAAATTCATTCCACATTTTCTCTCTTTCCCATTTTTCTTCCCTCCTTCTCAATTTCCTTCTTCTACTCCACTGATTTTCCCTTTATCCTCATGAACTCCGATCTTATCCGCCCTTCTTTTCCCTTTACTTTGCTCTAAATTCCACTTGTGAGAAAAAAACATTCAACTCTTGATTTTCTGAGTCTAGATGATTTCATTTAGCATGATGTTCTCTAGTTTTATCCATTTACTGGCAGTGCCATAATTTCATTCCTTTTTATGGCTGAGTTAAACCAATATGTATATATATATTACATTTTCTTAATCCATTCATCTGTTGATGGGCACCTGAGCTGGTTCCATAACTTGGCTATTGCGAATTGTGTGCTATAAACATTGATAGACGGTTTAACAATAGAATGTTTCTTTTCTTCTTCTTCTTTTTCTCCTTCTTCTTCTTCTTCTACTTCTTCTCCTTCTCCTTCTCCTTCTCCTTCTCCTTCTTCTTCTTCTTCTTCATCATCATCATCATCATCATCATCATCATCATCCTGAGAAATAGGATAGCAGGGTAATGTGGTAGTTCCATTTCTAGTTTTTTTTTTTTTTTTTTGGATCACCATTCTGTTTTCCAAAGTGGTTGTACTAATTTTCGACTAACAATGTGAGTGTATCTTTTTCCTGGCATTCTTGCCAGAATTTATTATTATTTGTATTCTTGATGATTGGCATCACTGAAGTGAGGAGAAATCTCTAGGTAGTTTTCATTTGTAGTTTCATGACTTCCAGATATGTTGAACGTTTTTCATATTTTTGTTGGTTATTTGTATTGGGATCAAAAATAAACACGAAGACCAATGGAAAAGTATAAGAAACAGGCAAACCCACATACCTACAGACATCTAATACTTTGCAAAGGTGCTAAAAATGTATGTTGGAGAAATGATAGCCTTTTTAACAGATGGTGCTAGGAAAAAATGCATATCCATATGTAGAAGAGTGAAAGTAGATTTCTATCTCTCACTAGTGAAATTAAAGTGGACCAGAAAATTTGTAACTGCTTGAAGATAACATGGAGTCAATAGTCCAACGTATTAATGCAGGCATTGACTTCTTTAACAAGTCTCCTTAAGCTGAAGAAATAAAATCAAGAATAAATAACTGGGACAGCACCAAATTAAAAAGCTTCTGCACAGCAAAGGAAACTAGAGTGTGAAGAGAACTTACAGAGTGGGAAAAAAATCTTTGCCAGCTACTTCTCTGACAGAGGATTAATATTCAGAATACATAAAAAACCTTAACACCAAAAATGCAAATAACCCAGTCAATAAATGGGCAAAAGATTAAACTCCTTTCTCAAATGAAGTTATACATATATATTTTTAAAAATCCATCTGTTGAACATTCAACAGCCTCTCTGAATAAGGAACTTTTTTTTAGTCCTTACAAAATTTCTTGTTATTTCATTGATCTTCCCATTTCTATTCCTTTCTAATGTTTGTAACTTCTGCTGTTCGGGTTTTGAATCTGTTTGTTCAATTGCCTAGCTTTCTTAACTTCTAATGTTAAGAAAGTTCTTTTATTTTACTTTTGAAGAAATTTCCTTAGATATATTTTCCAATACTTCTGTTGCAATTTAAGTGTGCATGTATTTATTTTGTAGCATTCTGTTCTTGTTTCATGGATGCAGATTATCTTCTATTCTTCTGACGAAACTGATGTTTTTAAAAAATATTTATTTTGGTATTTCTTTAAATATGTGGTGATTTTTATTTATAGTTAACTAGAACATTAGAAACTACTTATGTGAATGGATGTTTTTGAGAGGTGGGTTTCACAGTAGAGATTAAAATATAGACCTCATCATTTTCCTGGTAATTTCTAGATCCTTTTTTTTTTTTCAGGAGGTGGTCTTAGTTATTTTTCTTTTAATTAGTTGAATAATACCACAGATTTTAAGGAAAGAGTGTTTTTTAAAAACAGGTTTATTTGGGCTCACAATACTAATTGTTTAATTCTGAGGGGCCATATCTGGCAATGACCTTGTGAGAGTCCTGAGGCAGTGATAGTGAAAGGGCAACCCAACATGAATGTGTGGTTTCCCTCTTTTAAAGCCTCCAGAATTCAATCATGATGACCTTATTCAATCCTAATCACTTTCCAAAGGCCCTATTTCAAACACTATAGCTAGATTAAGTAACCACCCTTCGAATGCCTCACAATGGGCATTAAACTCCAATGTGAGTTTTGGAGGGAACAAATCATATTCAAACTATACCAGAAGTCAGTTTCTAAAGAAGTATATTCTAGTCTTTGACCTAGGAAACAGAAATCTGACTGCCATGTTTTCTAAGGAAAATATGGAAGGGCACTGATGAATTGGAAATTTTCATTTACTGCATGTAGGCTATGCCTTATTCTCATTTTATGAGAGGCATCTCTTTGCTCAGTGTATAGGAATACTTAGAATTTATAATCTCTTTGTTTCAACTCTTTTGGAAAATAAACCTCTAATTTTTGCTAGTGGTGAAGGTTTTGTTTCCTGATTGAGTGAGAAGATGAAACTAGGGATCTGACTCTGATAGTGAGTTTTATGCTTTTTTAAAATATATTTTCATTTTTTAGTTGTAGATGGACATAATATCTTTATTTTTTTTATTTTTATGTGGTGCTGAGGATCAAACCCAGGGCCTCACACATGCTACGTGAGCGCTCTACCGCTGAACCACAACCCCAGCCCAATTTTTATGCTTTTTAAGAAACTCTACACTGATACCTTTACTGGTAGCCATCCCTCCATTTCTTCCCCCATGCAACCACTTTGCTTTCGTTGTTCTCAAGTTTGTTAAATCAAGTAATACCTACCCTTCTCTTTTTTAAACTAAATAAGTTATCCATCATTGTCCAAAAGTTTTCTTGCTGTTGCTTATCTAATAACATCTATCCTGTAGCCCTTGTCCTTATGGATCAAACATTTATATGAGTTCTTTGCTGTCTCTTTTGTAGGATTTGGAAGGTAACAAAGGTAAATTTGTAAGGTTAACATGGGAGTCTTGTTGGAATTTTAAAAATATTACCGCATTATGATATGAAACTTTATGACTTATATGTTTGATTTTGGCGAATATTTTTGTTCATTTTTTTTAGCAATTTCTATTTACTTTCAAGTTCTTTAACTGCTTTTCCCCTTAATTTTATGCCTACATTAAATACTTGATAATGTGAGATTTTTTTTCATTTATTACTATTCAGATATTTTCTTGGGTCATTATCATGTCCTGTTTTTCATTATGAAGTTTGTTATTTTAGTCATTTTCATCCAGTTTGTTCACTTTCAATTTAAATTGATTTATGCATTTTTTTTCTAAGTCACATGGCATAACTAGATAGCTGGAAGGAAAAGCTGACTTTTGTTTATTGAGACATACAGCAAGTAATTTATATAATTTGATTGATGTTAAGATATTTAAATAACATTGATAATATATTGGTACAATATAAATTTAATTTCAGAGAACTTCATCTACAATAAATTTGTCACCAGGAGAGGTGGAAGAAGATGACGATGATGAGAACACATGTGGGCCTTCAGGAATTTGGGAAGCACTGACTCCTTGTAATGGATGTAGGAACCTTGGCTTCCCCATGCTTGCACAGGTAAAGGTTTACTTCTAGAAAGTTACATATAACATAAAAATAGTTGCCTACTTTATTAAGATTAAATTTTTCAAAATTTTAGAAATTCAATTAGTATCTTATTCACTTTATGACTTCTTTAGTTAGCTTATTGTGCATGTGTGTTGCTTAGGCATTGACATAATTTTCATAATTTTTAGTTTTTGAATTTCGATTATAATGCAGAATATGTACCATGATGTTTTAATATTTGTAGTCCAGTAATATATCATTTTAAAGATTACTATTTTAAATAAATAATGAAAAGTGGTTTAAAGATATAGGGAATTATATTTGGACTGTTTAATAGCATAGTCAGTGATATAAACATGTTTATTTTTTCTCACCACAATGGGAACATCATAGAATAAATTGAAAATATATTCTCAAGAGATTTTGAGGTAAATTACAAAATGAGAAGAGAACACTAAAACATTGACTATAAGTTTTAGATAATTTTTAGATAATTTCATTATTCATTAGGTTCTACTGTGTTACCTTTAAATTCCTGATACATGATTTAGACTATAAACCCTTAGAGGACTTTCAAAGATGAGAAAAATATTTCCTTTAAGGAAATTTGAAGCTAAAGTAAAAATATATCTGCACAAGATGAGAAAGAACTTAAGGTAAAAGACTATAATGTTAATATAATGCCCAGCCTGGGCAACTTAGTGAGACCCTGTCTCAAATAATAAAAAGGGCTGGGTAGGTATCTCAGTAGTGAAATGCCCCTTGGTTCAATCCCCAGTACTGTGAGAAAACCTGTCTTCATAGAATTTTTAAGATAGCTTATCCTCATCTTTACAGAGTTGTTGTCAATATATACTGGATTGAGTTCCATAAAGGTAGAAACCCAAACCTTTGATGCTCAAGAACCATGGCCTAATATCAGCATAGTTACTGGCATAGTTAGAATAGTTGAATGAACTAATAAACAAATGTGTATTTTGTAGATTTTCACATCTTCCCTTAAACTTTTTACATACTGTGTAGATTTTTACCTCACATCTATATATGTAAAGGAAAAAAGAAAATTAACAAGCATAACTTTTATATTTTGTTTAAATAAACCTCATGTGCTTAACAATGTTATAATAATTGACCCTTTTTTACCCATGCTTTTATTCATAAAATTAATGTCTTTGTAAAAATGTTTATCATTACTTTGTGTTATATCTTACAAAGTAGAATTCTTAAAACTATTAAAATAAAGTATTATAGCTTTCACTTTAATAATCAGATTACCAAAAATTATCAATAACATGGTTATGTTTCTCCAACAGCTTACTACTATTTACTTTAAATTTTATCTTATTTTATTATTTTATTAGTATTGATAGTGACTTGCTTTCAGTTTATAATGTTTTAGTATTTAGTTTTTTTCCTGTCAGTTTTCTGGGAAGACTGGTAGTTTCAATAAATTTATTACTTTCTTGATATTTTTAGATTTTAATGTTTTAATAGTTACATTTATCACAAAATTATTCCCAGTTCATAGCCTTTTTTGGTATTAATTTTTATATGTGTATGCAAGTATGTTGTATAGTTTATAAAGCTATCTATAATTCATTAAACTTCTCAGAACTATTTTTTGATTAATTTATCTCATCTAGAATTTTTTTAATTAGTTGTTCAAAACATTACAAAGCTCTCGACATATCATATTTCATACATTTGATTCAAATGGGTAAGAACTCCCATTTTTACATCTAGAATTTTTTTTAAAATAAATTCCAAATATGGTTCTGTACTGATTTTTTCCTATTGATATCTAGTTTTCTCATCACTTTCCATTGAATAACAACGCACATTCTTCTCATTATATTTCATCTTTTACATTTTGGCTTTACCTCTGAAATCTCATTTATTACTACTTTCCTAGAATATAAATAACATGATTCACTGTTGATATTACTTTGTGTTATTACATTAAAACTGTTAGGTGATATAATTGCTTGCTTTTTAAAATTTGTAGCGTACAACCACTATGTCACATTTAAAAAGTATCCTTATTAGGATTTTGTTACTATAGTAAATCTCCAAATTTACTTGAGATGTAGTATTTTTTTAAAAAACTAGACTTAATGTAACAAACCAGAAGTAGTAGTATTCTTTTACTAATGTTCTTTTCACTTTAAATTTTTAAGACTTTGTTTATGTATATATGTGAATATTATTGTCTATGGGCTTACTTTTAGCCTATCTATGACATGTATATATGTATATATTTTAATTATAAAACTATATCAAAGAATTTTATAGTTTTGTAATTAAAATACATACACCTATATGCAACTTGTATCAACTTCAAACTCGGTTTTTTGTTTATTAGCATTTTCTGGGTATCTGATCCATCCATTTATGAATACTAATTTAAAAATATTTTTATTTTATTTATCCTGAACTTACTTAAAGACTCGAATACTATTTCATTAAAAGAGGTAAAAGGATATGTTGTTTCAGAATTTTAAGGAAACTTTGTGAAATAATAAGATCTGGTGGTAATAGCCATTAGGATTTATAATCAGAAAAAAATGAGACAATATTTGCTATAGGAAATATGAAATTTAAAGATATTGAGTCAGAAAAATAGTATTGAAGTGTTAGAGGGCTGGGGTTGTGGCTCAGTGACAGAGTGCTCACCTAGCATGTGAGAGGCGCTGGGTTCAATCCTTAGCACCACATAAATAAATAAAATATTTTTTAAAAAGAATTAGAAAAGAAATTCAAAATGGCCTTTGCTATTAATAACCAGTGCACTAATTAAAATTACAGTGATTGTCCAGGCACTATAATGTGGTTAACAGTTTGTGAATACAAAGATGTTTGGTCCCTACCTAAAGACAGCTTGCAGTATAGTTGCTTTTGAAATATTGTAGGAAATCATCAGCATCAAATGAAATGTATTGAAATCAAAGTACATACCACATGAAACAATTTTTATTAAAAGATATGAAAGTTTTTTTAAAAAGTTTTAAATTTAAAATTATTTGCCTCAAATAATTTATTTTATGATTAGATATAATTTCTCAATAATATATTCTTGGAATTTGCAAAACTAAAACATACAATTTATAAAATGTTTTCATATTTGATAGCCACTTTTTTTTCACATATCAAGCATTTTTGGAGGTCAATACAAATCATTGAGCTGTGTGCACTATTTAGGGCTCAAAGAAAAAACATTTCTTTATAGTCCACTACAGGAAGCTTCAAGATTGGTGCCATTAATATGGTGCTGTGTAAATTTTGATGTACCCAGATTTGAAGGATTAGGAAAAATTATATTTTACATTAATTAATTTAATGGATTCCAGAGAAATTGTATTAAATATCTTTTATATTCAAAGCATAGTGAACATGAGTATTATGAAAATAATACAATCTTAATTGGGGTCCACATTACCTATACATCTGTTCCTAGATGTATCAGTTTTAGAATCATAATGTTTACTTGAAAAATTAGAATATTGATCTACTTTCCAGTTTTTGTCTAGATTTCGAATTGATCTTATATTCAAGTTTGATTTTTTTGTTTCACCTCCCAGAATACTAAACATAGAATGAACAGGCTAAAAGATGGGCACTTTAGAGTTTATGCTCATGAATATATTATATGGCATTTTATCCTTTCATTGAGACTAGACTGAAATTGCTACAAGCAATTCCTTTCAAATTCATGAAAATTTAGATTCTGAATACCTTTGGGGAATAAAAATTCTTAGAAAATACTAAGACTTACTGTTCATATAAGCTTTATAAAATAATTTCAAAGCAGTTAAATAAGATTTAAATTGGACAAAAAATTAGAAATGAAATAAATGAAACCACTTTTTAGAAAATATTATTAAACTCAAATTTGTTTCACAACATTCCTGACCATGATAATTGCTACTCTTTACACAGTGCCTACTATGTACTACATATTTTCCATGTATTTGTGCCTACTATGAACTGGATATTTCCCATGTATTATTTCTAATTTGCCAGCCTAAACATTTAAAGGAGGACACATAATATACTCAATCACAGTTAATGAGTGCCGATGCTACAGTTCACACCTGGACTTAAAAACCTGTACTATCGGGCTGCTTTCCTGGATTCATTTACATTTTCTTGCTTCTTATTGATTGCTTTTGTTAATGGTTAAAAACTGCATTTTTAAAATTTTAGGATTCTCTTTAGCTACAAGGGAAGATCATAGTTTTGAGAGCAACCATCAACATTTTCTTTTTGTCTTCTATTCATTTAATAATAGATATTAAGTTAAGGTGCAGTTAAAGACAGCTGAGAACTTGCTCTTAAATTGCCATTAGTTTTATTGCTACTCTTCTTGTTATAGAGGAAATGTCCTTAGAGCAGAGAATTTGAGTTGATGGATTATATTATGATGAATGATACCGCTTTCTTCCACAGTCTTAGATGATGCCCACCTCTGTATCCTGTATAGAGCAGATCTTTAAGGTTCTTTACTAAAGAGAGTAATCCCGCCTGGTTTCCATCCTGTTCACTCATGCAGCCTTCACTCTGCAAGGGTGAGATGAGATACTGAGCTTTTCCTGATGTTTCAACAGGCTTGTCAGAAATTTCTACTCCTACTATCACCATTTTCATGCTGCCCTCTGGGGAGAGGCCAGCACCTCTTGCTGATGAACTTGGAGTTACCCTTTAAGGACAAGAATGTACTTGCAGCTTGAACTGTCAAAATATTTAGACATGCTGGAAAGCACTCACTTTGCCTTGTAGGCTGTGCTTCCTCCTGAACCTGAAATCTTCTCTTTCCAGTGCCATTTCTGCCCTGAGCCTGCAGTCTTGGTATCAGCCACATTCACAGCACCTATGGTGCTTATTCTCAACACTACTCCTGATGCTACCCTTGTCCCTTTATCAGGTTCTATGACTGCAGGAGTGTGTGAACTTTTGAATGTAGTATATGTTGGATGCATGTTGGAGTCATTCCTCACTAGAATAACCAAAATAGGTGAGATCAAATATTTCAGGGTTCATGTGAAGATTCCTGATGCTAACTTGCTCTTTATCCCCTCCAGAGAACTTCATGACTTGTGCCTAGGGGGAGAAAAAATAAGTAAAGAAAGTGACACCAGCAAGGTCACCTATCTCTTCCTGTAACTAAACAAGAAGAAATTGTTGCACATATGACATATTTGTATAAATGATAGCAGCAGGGAGACATTATGTCCCACAATATATCAACTTATCTAGGTTGGAGTAGGATGTTTTCAATAACATATTAGATGGTCAGGATGCTGTGGGATGCATTGAAACACTGGATATGAAATTAAAGAGTTGCTGACAACTAAGGGATCTCTAAAATTCAGTTATGGGGAATAATTTGGAGAAGCACTAGGAACCTCTCTAGTGTGCCCTCGCTTCCAAATGAAGGATCATCTGGCCTTGAGTTCTTTCAAAAGTGGTGCATTCCCAAGTTGAATCTCATTTCTAAGAGCTGTACAGGACCTTTAGTTGCTTTCCCCAAAGTGTCCTGGCCCATCTTTTGGTTTCTTTAAAGACTTAGCTCTGGGCTCTTGTCCTCTTCCTCAAACATAGGTATGTCTGATTTATCCCCAGTTGGAATGACTTGAGTACGGCTGTAAGCCTCCACTGGTGGTCTCAGGATGTAAACAAGATATTCCCAGTGAGCAAAAAGATCTCTTGTATCTGAAGGAGGACACAGCTGCAGGTAAAAAGCACGGCCAGTAGCAAGCCTCAGGTGGAGCTGTTGTTTGTGGCTGTTATGGATGGTTATCTTTACAAACTTCAAGGGCAGCAGCCTGGTTAATTCTAAGGTCTGTGTAGGCTTTTTAGCTCTTTCTTGAGTGGCAAGGCCACAAGGGGCATAGTCTTTACAGATAGCAGCTGGCCGGGCCAGCAGCATGACATCAGGTAGTGTGAGGCAAGGGCTGGTGCGAACAACACCCATAGTCACCATCCGGGCATGGTTGTGCACATCAATCAATTCTCCTCTTTTACTGATCTGGATAAAGTCACTCTCAAACATTGGTGCATACCTGAATATAGCATACTCCCCTTTGTACAGTTGTTGCTGCAGTTTCCCCATGGAGGTATTAAACATGCCCATTGCAGGACTGTTTTGGGCTGTGTAATATGGTAACATAATTTGGTCGTTCATGGCTATTTTATTAAGCAAGTTTCTAATGACTGTTCCACACATTCAACAACACACTTACACAGCGTCCTGTTTCACTGGCTTCTCTGGCTGATGGGCAGGCAGTTTTCTTCTGCAGGTTTTTTGTCCCTGGGCCACTGAGGACCCCCTGAGACGTTGATCAGTGACTGTTACAGAGATAGTCAGGCCCCTCAGTCCAGATGGTGCCTGTATTAGTGCATGAACATGTGGCCACACACTGATGTTGGGCCCTTGTGAATGTCAGGGCATTCAGATTTGGGTGCTTACTTGGAAGGGACCTCTTTAATTCCATAACTTCAACTACCAGTTGTAATCTTCTTCAGAGAAGTGTCTCCTCTGCCTAAACTAACCCTGTAGGACCACTTTTACCCTCCTGCCCATTGTGACCTGTCCTTATCACACCCAGCTTTGTCTCTGTCACCCAGTGGCCCCTCCCTCAGGGCAGGGACATGTTGTCTCCACTCCACCTCACTTACTCACCCTGCCAGCTTGCCATAACTCAGTAGCCATCCCTTCTCACCAAGAGACCTGTGTAGGGGTCTTAATATACATTGGCAAATTGCTTTCTAAAAACAAGTGTAGCAAAATTTCTATTACGTATAAGAGTTTAAAATATACTCTAGGGTTGGGACTGTAGCTCAGTGGTAGAGTGCTTCTGCATGAGGCCCTGGGTTTGATCCCCAGCACCGAAAAAACAAAAAACAAAAAACAAAACCCAGTAAATAAACAAATACAACAAAATATATATACTCTACATACTCTTTTTCTAGCACTTCTAATTGTAGATATTTAGTTTAAACACAATTGTACAAGTTGATAGACAGGTTAGTACAGGATGGATGAATATACATAAAATTAATATATAAAGATTCATATCTTATATTAGGGGATTGGTTAGATAAATTATGGAGCATTCTGTCAAAGACTATTCTGGACCATAAAAATTATTATGTAGTTCCCTATTTATTGACCTAAAAAGATATTCCTAGCATTTTTTTCTTAAAGGAAAAAGCAAACAAACAATATTTCAAACTATTAACATACATGTGATTCAATTTATATTGTAAGGGTCCAGCGAAACGTCGGAGTAAGAGACCACAAGAGACTGTCTTATGCAAAAGCAGAAGGGTGGGTTTATTTGGAGACCAGCATGCTGGGGCTCCCTCTATAGCAAAGAGAGAGAGAGCCCTGAGAACAGCTTGAGCAGAGCTTATATACTTTCCATGGAGAGGGCAGCGAGAGAAGTTACATTTTGTAGTTTGGCAGTTGGGGACAGCTCATTCTGGGAACAAGATTAGCAAACAGTTCTTAAGATTTCAACAGTGTTTTGTTAAGCATATAGAGAAATGGAGTGACAAGTACCTATTTTATTAACCTTTCAATATAAAATCATTTGCATGTGTATTTAGATATAGAATTACGTTCAATGAAGTGTTTATCAATTGAATAATATAATTTTTATTCTTTATGCTTTTTTTAAAAAATATTTTTTTCAGTTATTGATGTACCTTTATTTTATTCATTTATTTATATGTGGTGCTGAGAATAGACTCCAGTGCCTCACACATGTGAGGCCAGTGCTCTATCACTGAGCCACAACCCCAGGCCTATGCCTTCTATTTTTATTAGAAAATTATTATTTCTATTACCAAGAAAAATAAAGCTGAACAATAATAATAATAATATCAAGATACTATTTAAATAACAGCAGCTCTGGGAATTGTATAATTCAACATATAATCTTATTATGTTGCTGAATTTATCCTTCCTAAAAATTTTAGAAGAACCAATGTTTCAAATGTGGAAATGATAAATGTTAGTTCAGTAAGCTGGGTAATCAGTGGGAACAGTGCTTAAAACTATTTTATTGATATTATAAGTTAAACTATTCAAACAGTATTCAGTTAATAATGAACATGGCTATTGTATACAGAATAATCTCCCCTACCCCCAGGATGTCCATCCACATTCTAACCTTTACAGCCTTTACATGGGTAAGAGAACTTGTAGATGTGATTAAGTCAGGCTTCTTGAGATGGGCAATTATCTGTATTAATTATAATATTATATATAGTTTGGATCTAAAATATCCCCCCAAAGTCCAGTTGTTAAAGAGTTGGTCCTCAGTCTGTGATAATCTTGGAAGGCAGTGAAACATAAGAGGAGTCTAGCTGGATGAAGTTAGGTCATTGGAGGTGTGCCCTTAAAGAGGATATTGGGACCCTGGCCTATTCCTCTCTCTCCTTTTGCTTCCTGGCTGCCATGAAATGAGAAACTTTCTTCACCATACGTTCCTGCCATTACATGCTACCTTACTAGAGTTTCAAAGGCAATGGGGCTAAGTGACCATGTACTGAAACCTCTGAAACTGTAGGCCAAAATAAACGTTTCTTCATTATTAGTTGATTCATTCAAGTCTGACTAACATACTATGCTAGTTCTACCATTATATTTTAGGAACAAATAATTTTTATTCTGGTTTCACAGATGCATACATGAAGAATTTTGCCTTGAAGTAGATTATACTCCAAGTTTCATACATAACAGATTTTTATGAGAAGACTTGGAATTTTTGAGCTGATGAGATTTTGAATTTAAGTTGATATTGTGCAATGGTTTGAGACTTACAGGAATGCTGAGATATGAGTTAAATGTATTTTACATGTAGATGTTGGTGAATATTTAGGATTCAGAAGATGCATTGTGATAAATAAGATAATGCTCCTCCATATCCATATCCTTATTCTAACCCCAGAACCTGACTATATTGCCTAATGTGGCAAAAGGGACCTTTCATATGTAATTAAGGATCGTGAGATGGGATGATTATTCTGAATTACTCAGGTGGGCCAAGTATAATCACAAGAGTTCTTATAATAGGGAAGATAATATGATGAGAAAAGCAGAGAGAGATCTGAGCACGTGACACTGGTAGCTCTGAAGATGAAGAAAGGGCCTATGAGCCAAGGAATGCTGGGGGTCTCTTGATAATGGAAAAGACAGGAAACAATTTTTTTCCCCCTGAGTGTCCAGAAGTAACCAGCTCTGCAGATACCTTAACTTTAAGGTATATAACATTCCTTTTAGGCCTCTGACCTCAATAACTGTCAGAAAAAAAATTATGTTGTTTTAAGCTACTAAGTTTGTGGCAATTTGTGGCAGTAACTGTAGGAAAATAATATAATGATTATGGAAATTAGATCAGAAGACATTTCATCTATCATCTACTTATTCGGGAACAGATGCCTGCTATCTATATTTGGGCAGAAGGCAGGAAATACAGGTATAGAGAAACACAATTTAACTTTCCTATAAGCATTTATATAATCCAGGGTTTTATGATTTTATACAGTCATTTTTATAACTTTTAAAATAACAATTAAAATTTTGCCATTATAAAGTCCACATGTTGCACCATTTTAGGAAAGTATTGGTATAATTATATTAACAATTATGAAAACAATAATAATGTTAAAAATGAAACTAGCATTTATTGAGTGCCTACCACATGCCAGGTATTTTAGTCAGCTTTCTTGTCACTGTGACCCAAAGACCCGGCAAGAACAACTTAGAAGAAGGAGAGTTTATTTTTGCTCATGGTTTCAGAATTCTCAGTCCGTGGTTGGGCTGACTCCATAGCTTTGGGCCCAAGGTGAGGCAGAGCATGATGGCATAAAGATGTGGCAGAGGAAAGTAGCCCAGGATATGCCAACCAGTAAACAAAGAGAGAGCTCTGCTCACTAGGAATAAAATATAAATCCAAAAGGCATAACTCAGTGATCTGCTTCCTCCAGCCACACCCTACCTTCTCACAGTTACTTCCAGGTTAATCCATATCAGAGGATGAATCCACTGATGAGGTTGTGGCTCTTATATTCTAATCATTTCACATCTGAATGTTTTTGCATTGTCTCATGCATGAACTTTTGGGGGCCACCATGTATCTGAACCATAACACCAAGTACAGTAAAAACTACTTTACATTCCTTATCTTATATTTCATAATAATCCTATGACAAATTTTCACTTTAACGTTTGAAAATTGAATTTCAAGTGGTTAAAGAACAAGCTCAAGTTTGTATAGCTATTGTATTTGGTCCAAAACCCACATGAATACTTTATATGAAATTAAAAAGGTCTTAAACAGTGCACATTTTTTCAAGCAGAAAGAAACCTGTATATGATTTTCTATTCAGTAGTTTTCACTGTAACATTTCAATGTTAAAAAGAGGATATCAAAAATTGTTGATGTCATTCTTATGTTGAGTATACTCAATTGATTCATCATTTTACATTGTGCTTTGAGAGTGAGTAGATTTCTCAATATTTTTATTATTTAGAGTCTAGATTTTTAAAAATTGATGGTTTGATAAGATTCATAATTTATTTAGAATCCTTCCTGTCTTCCCTATTATTTTATTCATTATCCATTTGCTGCGTAAACATTATTATTGACTATCTGCTGCATGCAAGGTATACAGTATTAAGAAGTTTGGACATCCCTCATCCCTCATATTATTTAAAATTTTTGCTAGGTACTGTATGTAAATAATACTATTTATTACCTATATAATCTTGAGCAAGAAACTCAGCTTCTCCTTCCTCCTTTTTAAGATGTGGAGGATAGTTCTTATTTATCCACTGGATTGTATGATGGTATTACAATAAAAATACTAGTTTCTGTATAAATTTCTTACTATACAAATACTAATTGGTCTTTTTCTGTTTTGTCTGTGGCCTCTAGAGACATCACCTTCTAAGTCTGTAGAATTGTCAGGTTGAAGAAGAATATAAACCAACCTTATATAAGTACTTTGAAAGTTGTCTAATATTAATTTGTATGTTTTTTGAAAATCTAGCAGTATATACGGCACTCTAGAAGTTAATAGTGATTAGTTCTAAAGCTTAGAATTTATGAGAGACCTCACTTTCCTTTGTCATATACTTATAACTGGTTTGAATTGTTTTCAACAAGCAGATCTAATTTTTCATAAATATTTTATGTCCCTTTTTTGGACAGGCTTTGCTCTGAGGTAGAGGCTGGTTTTTCAGATTCAAGTGGAGACATTGCCAAGGAACTGTTGAGACTTGGGAATTCTTGGAAATGGACTAAATGTGTTTTGCATTTGTAATATCAGATTAGTGGGACCCCAGTAGACCTCCAGGAGCTGAATCCGATGCAATGACATTAGAGTCTTTATTGCAAGCTGGAGCCTGGACTCACAACCATTTCTGATACAGTGGTCCTGAGGAGTGAGTCCTGGCTTTTAGTTTAGTGAGGATTTATGGGTTTTTTTTTTTTTTTTTTGGATACTCTATGCATCACAACATCACACAGCAAATCATTTCAC